CACGTGGTAAAAAGGGGCGAGATAGCTCACCGGTTAGAGCGTGAATTTACTGACCGAAAGGTCCGTGGTTAGAATCCGACCTCTGAATCGCGACTTCTCCTGTCCAGGCTTCGGAAACCTGGCAGTATCCCAGCCCTTGTGCTTCTTTCGAGCGGCATAGCAGCCAGGTACTAAAAGGGTGTCATGGCTAAACGATTATCTTTTTTATTCTTGGGTGAGGGACTTTTGGCCTCTCAAAGAGGAATACGATGAAGTAACTCTTAAAATGCCAAACAGATCAGAGTAGCTGAGAAAACGCATGCGCTCTGCAATACGACTCTTATGAGCAACCGATGTATGTGATTTGTCTGGACACACCCACAGGATCCAGAATCGCATCCCTGATTCCATGCTAAGTAAAATATTTGAAGACGAACCACAGGGGGAGCACGACTGATTCCCAACCTATGCGTGTGAAGTACAAGCATGGAGAATGGTAATGTTTGGTATTCATGAACGCTAGCAGTTTTTAGGGATCAGGTTACACTACATGTTCACAACTCAAAGTTTGAGGATCAAGGGACTGTCTTAATCAGATCTCTACCCACTAACCACATTGGTGTGAGAAAGTGTGGATTCTCAACGAAATATATAGGTTGCGCCACGATGAGGTACTGTCTCGGCGACAGGACGACACCAAACCGACAGATTGATGCTTCAGCACGACTGCTATCAAGTAGGAAACAAGCCGCTGTGCTATCACGGATCGAGAGGTCATCACCACCACCATCATCACCATCGATAGCATTGTTAGAAGGACTACCTTTAAACGAACAAATCCATTCGACTAGCGATTTGTCTTGTATACTAAAACCTAGTTTCTACATTTTGGCATCATTGACATCCTATTGGACTGTTAGCTCCTACTAAATTCTCGTTCAGTTTAATTCCATATGACGGAAGGATCCGCTTGTTTGCAGTATAACTTCCTCGAAGTTGTTTGTCTTCTCCATTCCGGTGATCTAACGTGTCTGGCTGATACATTATCAAAGAGGATATAACAACCATGACATCAGTGAACAGCTTGATTCTGACGAATCTGTCTCGCCCGATAATCGATCAACCCAAGCTAAACAATGCCAGCGAACCTTGAGTGCGACGGATACCAGACTGATACATAACGTTCTTGCACCCTGTTTGAAAACTAGGATCACGGTTGAGGAGTTCCATTCGACTGGAATTCGGTTTTCGTTCCAAATCCTCTGAAGTACGGCCGTCAGACAGCTCACCAGGATCTTGCCACGTTCTTTGAAGATTGCGGGGTGCAGGAAATACGGGCCACGTACCTTGTCACGTTGGAGGATGGATATCACACGCCAGGTTTCTGTTGCTGGTAGCGGGCTGGTGCCGAAGTTCCATTCAGTCCCGCTGAGTTCCTCCAGCGGTTAGGTTGAAGGAGACCAGCTGAACTGTTTTTTGAAGTGCTTACACCATCGATGTTATGGCTTTTCTGACAGCAATACGATATGCTTACCTCGTCTATGAACAGGGTTCATTTAATCGAGTCAGATAGCCTGAGCTAACGGTTCTGGAAGCTGAGAGCACAGGTTCTTTAGCCCGCTCCCATTCAACCTCCAAATAATCTACATCATTCACATGACTGTGCGTTTCCAGTAGCTTTCTATCCAGAGGAACTCGGAACTAGTGAAACTTGTCTAAGTTGATGAATGGAACTGCTTTAGTTTAGCACACGTAATGTTGACGGAAAGCGAAGTGATAGCCGGGCTTGCACAATGGTATCATCAGAGTCTAGTTGCGTACCCCAGAAGGAAAGACAACAATTAACCAAGGCTTTCCATAGGCAACCAATGGATGCGGTTGGTGGCTTCGAATTAACTCGATGTGAGCGTTTGTATTGGGGAGTTGCACTGGGAACATATAACGATAACAACTGGCTCGATCGCCCCCCATTATCCGCAATCTGAGCATCAACTCCAAATCTGAAGCCTAAATATACCTCTTCCGGACTTAGTCGGGCAACTTGGGCATTCATATAACCCTCCAGAATTACCATATTCATCTTTATTGCTGACCGAACCAGTCGTGACAGACTTTGACAAAACCCATCCTCCCCAGTTTCAGAACTGTAGCCTGTCGGGGCGTATGTTGGTACGGCAAATAAACACCGTTTACTGCATCAATCTGCATTGATTTCGATTGAGCCAGGCAACCGCACAGCGCAAAGACGACCGTATTCTAGGATCCACTCCTGTAAGACGCTATCAGTCTTGGGACTGAGCGCAATTGTCGGGCAACGCATTCATATAACCCTCCAGAATTACCATATTCATCTTTATTGCTGACCGAACCAGTCGTGACAGACTTTGACAAAACCCATCCTCCCCAGTTTCAGAACTGTAGCCTGTCGGGGCGTATGTTGGTACGGCAAATAAACACCGTTTACTGCATCAATCTGCATTGATTTCGATTGAGCCAGGCAACCGCACAGCGCAAAGACGACCGTATTCTAGGATCCACTCCTGTAAGACGCTATCAGTCTTGGGACTGAGCGCAATTACCACACCGTAGACACTACGAGCCACTGTATCAGGATCACCAGATATCCGAAGAGTGGAATGTGGAACATCTGAGCTCGTTCTAAGCAGCTTGAGGTGTACAACCTGAAGTGGGAGCTTGTGAGTGTCTCGGAGATACAACATACATCGACAGATAACGAAAGCAAGGTTTCAACAAGCGATGACTGTTGCTCAAATTGACACAGGGTATGGACAGTAAAAGCTGCGGCGTGGTTCAGATCCTTTGAGGTTAGCAATCGATTATTTTGGTTCATTTCTTTGGACAATGGTTTAAACACGGAACAATTGTTAGGTCGCTGGAAGAAGGGCCGATCGCACTGCATCGTTGCATTGGTGGCATAAGTGTGGGGAAGGCCGATGACGGAGGATCTGCGAGGGCGAACGATACTCCTCGGTTGTCCAAGCTGGAGAGGTACTCCACCTTGAGCATTCGAATCAAAATTCTGACCTACAAGGCAGTGGGGGACTTAGGTTTTTTTCGGGGACCTTAACCCTAGTCACTGTCTCAGAAGTCTGAACTGCGAGGTAAGGGTTGTTGAGATTTTCTTGGTGGACTCTACTCGAAGCCAATCACTCAAAAGTCCTACCCACTTGGCTGTATAGCGTCAACTTTGTCTGTTGACGCGGAGAGTAAAACATTCTCAATGCGACTGCGCACAGAAGGTACCTTTTGAGTAGCACCGGACTCTGGTTTTGAAGGTATTTAGACCGTACTGAATAATGAGCCAGCGGTCACGGTCAACCGTTGGAGGGTTGGAGTATGTGGGCGGACCTTTTCTAACCCGTCCTTTCTCGGAAAAATGCATCATCACTTATTCCAAAAATATGGACATGATCGCTTGGGAGGAACGCCTTACTACCTTCACGCCCCTATCGCAGAGAGCACTACGACTTTACCTCCAGATCGCCTCATAGTACGATTAATCACAGCACGGGGACCCAGTGTTCTTAATCGGACTGCTCCACGTTTGCCTCCATGGCATAGTTAAACATTTGGAAACTGAGTTCCAGCAATTATCTCCTCAACACCACAAAGTGACAGCTTTAGATGGGGGGCGCTGCATACCACATAACCGTGATTTTGATGAGACTGCACGGAACCCATTTCCTGGGCCGTCGTGTGCCGTTTGTACAGAGTGAAACAAGAGGACGGAGTCAACAAGGCGTCAACCAGCTGATCTCTACTTCTGACTAACTGAATAACATGGTATAAGTTCATCCAGGACTAAGTAAATTGTGTGAAGCAACACTTCCTTGTTGCCGGCGGTGACCGTGTGAAACGACTTGCCCTCAAGTTGTTGTCACCGTTAGATCGCGACTTAAGTTTCTTCCGGATACCTGTTCGCGGGGCTCGTCTGTTTTTCCGGTTTAAGTGAATAACCTCAGGCAGCGGTGTTAGAGTTCCCTGTGTGCCTCTCAGGTGCGTGAGCACACCGGAAGACTGCTAACCACGGATATAATAGACCTGTGAAACCTGCACAGCTTCGTTTCATTGATGAGCTGGTCAGTAGAGCACAGTAACTGTTGAATTTGAATTTTGACTCCTTCACCGCAGTGAAGAGGTGTTACGGATTTATTCCGATTGGTGCTATTACCAGAACCTCACAAGGAACTTTCCATTGTTTCTTCTCACACAAACTGTACCCGCACAATTAAGACCTTATTTACGACAGCATAGTTATACATTGTCACTGGATGTCGCTCTAGGTGTAACTGGTATCTTGACGACAAACGCATCGCTTGCATGTGTGATTAGCTAAGGATTACGTAAAAACATTTGACATTTGGTAAATACAGAGTTTAACTGGAACAACCACCTAAATAGACATCGTGGCAGTGCACATAAACCAACATAATTTTACACACTTTATTAAAATTCTACGGAGTCATTCATGGAATGCATTCATACAATGCAGAAATGAAAAATTGAAAGGTTACGGTAATCGGCACATTTTTAGCCTTATTTTTAGTGCGTTTCAGCCTGCTGGACAACCAAACTGGCGGCATAAATGACCTACGGGGAAGCCAGACAGAAACGGTACAAGGGGTGCGCGCCCAACATGAAATAAGACAAACTGTGCGCGTCCAGGGTGAGCTCCGCGGCTCGTTCAACTTTCAAGGTCAGTTCGAATGTTTGCCAATCCAACCGATGATACACGAGTCGCAGATGGTTGCTCAAAGTTACCAGACAAAATGGGTCACTGGTCTTCAATTTTCACATTTCTCACGCTTCTCTCAGACAGCGAATGCGGACTACGCGTGTACCGCAAGTACTCCGTCTCGCGGAGTTAAATGTAAGTATTGCCAAACAGGTATTCCTCGAGCGCTTGGAAGTCGCCTTCATCTTTGGAGTTTCCATTCTCACGGAATGTTGTACGTACGTTAAGTAAGTTAGTTTGTATGTTAAGTATGTTAATTTTCAATCTGCCAAGAAAGACGAACAAACCTACTGACGCTCCCGTTTCAAAGACTACCACCAGTGGCATTGACAATTTGTTTGCCTTGACTGGTCAAGGTCAGTCCTTGTACTCAAGAGGCACCCATAATTGATGGCGGGAATCGCAGTTGCATGAAAGCTGGAGTTCATTTTGGAATTATATTTTCACGAGGTTGCGCTGAATACCAAGAGCTGTCCCTGGGTGAGCTACGAGTGTTTGAACCCTTAAGCTTGCAATGCTCTGTTTGTTTATGCATGTTTTTAGCCAAAACTCGCTGCAGGGCGAAAAATCAGCCTAAAAAGAGCAGAACTTCAAGGATTCATAGCCATTGCCCGCAAATATTTGAGCTCCCATCAAGGGCTGCATCAGAACTTGCGATTGCCGCAACTTTCGGTCGGCTATTCCGCGCTTTTGCGGCTGGCAACGAAAAGATGTTTCCTTGGTAATTTTAGTGTCTTTATTCAACAAAGTAGTTTTTGTACCTTAGCTATTTGTTGCTAGGGTGCTGGGGCGAGAGTTGCATGGTTATTGTGAACAAGTAATCTTTGGGTCTCCACTGAGACGCCTGAATTAAGATGGGTGTGAGTCAAGCAGCCTCCAGTGCCTTCTGTCTCGTCCATTAAGTTGACACTTGAAATTCCTCAAGGTTATTCTGTCCTCACTTGTAACCCTCGCCCCACCTCTGTGTTTAGTGCGTATACATAAACTCGCGTTCGTTTGTTCTGACCGCTACACTTAATCCACCTGAGGTCATCCGGCCATTTGTGACCAAATTGTACAGGTGTGACTATCTCACCTATGTCCCTGGGAGCCTGTTTGCTCCTTCGGTTTGTACTTTTGTAGTGCAAGTGAGCTATTTATTTTGGACGAGTATCTGCTGTCGAGGTTTTTATTATTTGTGAATTTGTCTCACATTAATGGTACCGTTTTACCTTCCCGGGGGTTCTGGTATTACGCGTCACTCGAAGATACCGTTCGCCTGTTATACCTTCCATAAACCAAACGTCGCGGCACAGCAAGAGTAACCCCTATTACCCACCTGTATAGTGTGCCCTAGCGTGGAGTTCTCGAATCTGTGGCAAAGCTTCAGCTTCTGAAGTTTGGGGTCTTAAAGTAACAAGTGTGTCCATTTTCGTCTGATAGTCGACAGGTTTAGCAAAAATCAGCCAGTGGCCGGCAGCAACAATGGGGCTAGTGGACATGGAGATTGCCGAACCTAATCCCAAAACTTCCGCATCTATGTACAAGCAGTCGACGGGTTTAGCAAAAAGCAGCCAGTGGCCGGCAGCAGCAATGGGACTAGTGGACATAGAGATTGCCGAACCTAATCCCAAAACTTCCGCATCTATGTACAATCAGGAAGGAGCCTTAATCTTGTGGCTTATATGCATCCGCGTTCAATGGCTGGCAATGACATTTGGAGGCAATTACTGGGTTACTTATCCAGTGACAGCAACTAAAGTTACCCAATCATTGGCGATTTTAACGGTACAGGATCATGAGGCTTTACCGACACATAACACGAACGGGTTCCTCTTTACATGTCCGAATATCCGTTCGAGTGCGGGGTTCTTCGAAGATTTGGACGCGGCTCAGAGCCTTGGACACTGGAAAGTTGGGGTTTTGCTCCTTCCAGGGTTAGGGGGCAAACCACTTTTAGATATTAGACCGAAGGACCATTTGCTTCAAGCGAGGCACAAGGTCCCTGCACCACCTAGCAAACACCGAAATGATGTTAACGTCTATGGGAATGAAGCGAGCTGTGGAGACGATTTTGACGTGCGGCCGTTCGTCTTGCTTGTTTAGAGTTCAAACTCTCATGATACTTTGCAGTCGGTTTTAGTCGTGTTGCATCAAAAATTCTAAGTAGTCCTTATTGCTTGGGGATTATCTCCGAATGTGAAAAGCGGATGCATCAAGTGCCCACTGCCGACACGGTAAATAGCGGTGAGCTCAAGACATATGCCTGGTTGGTTGTTCATTGCTTTGCCAGCTTTTCAGCGTTTTTCTGCAGCCACCTGCAGGGTCTGGCTTGAGAAGTGCTGGTTACAATCTGTGAAGGAAAAGACGATGGTTTGCCGTGTCAAGGACCCTCTTGAAATCCAAACGAAATAGTTTCTCTTACTGATCCACCGCTACGTTGGCAGCTTTTCATTAGATGTTACAAACGGCTGGTTCGACAAGATTTCTGCATGGTGGTTGACGAAGAATACCAGTATCTTATCAGCCGTTCTCAAAATGATGGAAGAGTGCTTACATGATAAACAGGCTGTCAACATCATGTGTGACTGATTAATCAGCCCAGTCATGTTATTTAGCCGATTCCGCTTCGTAGACTAGACAGGCGTAAAAAAGTCGATATTTTGATGCCGTTAATTCTTCCTAATGGCGAGTCATCGGGTGCAAATTTTTGAAACACTGGACTCGTAAAAAATTTCTAAAAGGCACAAATGCATCATCAGCTTTATAACCGGGCCGACGTCTGTCAAGTGTTAACACGTCCTCTTACATGTAGCTGGCACGAAGCTATTTAGATCTTTCATTCTTGGGCTACTCAAGCAGGTATATTATATAATATAAGATGTCAATGAGGTAAAGCTACTGTTGGGCCCAAGTACAATGATCCTCCAAGAGATCATGGGATGGCGCTACTGGTAGGACGTGAATTTTTGGGTGCTGATAAATGTGGGTAGGTTCCAGCCGCTTGCCGTGGCAGGCCAATTTACTGCTCTGATAACTGTGAAATACGCCTCACTCAACCCGCGTGCACACAGAAACAGAGGTGTGGGGACCGGCGATCAAGGTTAAAACCGATTTTATCGGTCTCATTAATTTTCGGCATTCACGGATTGGTACACCGGGTCAAGGCTGTCACCGGTTTGTTCTTGTCCTTCAGCGAGTTTGCTCATCTGAAGAGTACAGGTTAGAATAATTAGCAAAAGCTTCAGCGTAAAATAATGCATAGCTTCATCCCAGAAGTTCGAAAAATTTGGCTCTCATGCACTTTGTCTGACTATGTGGTCCCAGATGGCCATGAAATCTGTCGTGCACTCTGTAACATAGATGTATAATATACAGAAGCAACTGTTGCGTCCTCTGGACAGGATAATACAGACGTAAGCTGTAGCAGCCAACAAAGGAGGTGAAATCGGCTCATTTACGCACTGAAACAACTCCTTATGAGGAGCATTGGATGTACTTTCACCATCAGCTTAACTAAAAATCGTGCACAGGTTCTGCCAGCACGATAGTTTATTGTACTTGGTAAAAACCCTGACATTCCTAGGGAGCTTGAGGATTGTATTGGTACACTGCATGAAGTAATATGCCTCTGTATCACTTTGGGTTACCTTGAACAGTTTTGCAAGTGGTTTGCGGATACAATCAACTCAGGATATTTACAATCCGAATGTTTTATTCCAAGTTTTATTTGGTCGTTACCAATGCTACCGGCTACAATAACTTTCTAACCCACACCTGAGAAAGGGCGATACATCGGTGGGCACGGACGCAATATGAATTTAGAACTCAATCAACCATGTTGAGGTCTGGATTGGAAATGAGTGGGGAAAATCCATCACCAGGGAGCAAAGAAAGCAGGTCGCGTCGCAATTACACAGACTCATGGTCCTTTCATATCGCACGCAGAAACAGGAAAGGTTTTTTAACGAACCGCGGCATAATGAAATAAAATTTCCGTTTTGGTCACGGACCATCTATGAGAATAATCATTCAAAACATCATAAACGTGCGAAATACCACCAAGCTCGAAGATTATGTAGAAAACCAGCCTCACGGGCTTACATCCCTTGACTCACTGAAGTGAGGTGCTGGCATCCTGGTCAGGAGGCTTTTGTCACCAGGGCCTTCTGGTGGCATTCAATCTATTTTGATGACATACTTTTAATTCCCGAAGTATGGAAACCGCCTCCGACATCAAATTTTGGTGAAATAGACGAAAACAATGATAATAGATGTGGATATAAACAAACCTTGTGTTCGTGTACTCTATCAGTCATCTTCCCGTAAAAGATAATATTATTGTTTGTTACCAACTGGTGGTTGGCATATTGCCAGGCAAGAAGATGATGTTTCCATTAGCATAAAAGCATGACTGGTGGGGGGTGTGTGTACGAAATATTGTGTGCAAAAAGGACAGCGTCATATACAGTGAGAACCATCTGATGTAAACATTAGAATTTGAGGATGGTGGGCAAAAGCAAAACGAGGAAGGGCAAAATAGAGTCCCACTGCCTGACACAGGTAAACGAAACCGTAAAGTGCTGAAAATGGGGAATCAAGACAACGTATCTGTTGAAGCAGCTGAGTTGGCGTAATATAGCCGGTCGATTTGAAATAAAGCCTAAAACCACCGCTGGGGCATCGTGGCCTTAGACGGTTAGGCTTGTGGCCAGGGTCACAAAAAGCGTAAGTGGGGCGGTGAAGTGGAAAGATTAGTAATGCAGATAAATTGTAGCTGGATAAAACAACGTATCCGTTGAGGCAGCTGAGTTGGCGTAATATAGCAGGTCAATTTGAAATAAAGCTGAAAACCACCGCTGGGGCATCGTAGCCTTAGACGGTTAGGCTTGTGGCCAGGGTCACAAAAAGCGTAAGTGGGGCGGTGAAGTGGAAAGATTAGTAATGCAGATAAATTGTAGCAGGATTCTCAATATTATGGTGTACAGTGAAACTGCAGAGACCCACTAATGTTGCCGTTCTAGCGGGGTCGGCTGTAAAAGTTCCCTGGAAGAGTGAGTCGTTGGCAGCATGTAAGCCGGGATGCGAACTGTACAGAAAATTGTTGGCCCTGTAGAGAGTACAGAAAATACACTAAAATGGTCGAATCCTAACAGAAAATTCAGCAGATTTGAATAAATGCGTCCTGCAGGTGGCTGGGGCATGGTGAAGAATTTGTTTCTATTTGCAATCAGTGGAACGAAGGGGTAAGATCAAGAGTAGGAAGGGGATGGTTTTGGGTATGCCATGAAACTGGGTATGGCAGTGCCGTGCCGTTATTGCACTTACATACTTCGGTTTTTCGGCGGCCCCATGGTGGACGTCACGTTTGAGGTCTTTGAGCTGGGATGTGCAATTTTTGAGTGGCGAGATTTTTTTAGATAGACCAAGGAAATCCACAGAGGTAGAACGGAGCCGATGTGATGTCGAAGGGATTATTTCTGGTTCGGTTGAGGATCCCTGTAAATTCAGATCACACGTCAGGTGGGGTAAATAGCAGCCAGATAGGGCGTCAACCCAGGTACTGCTGAAACTTAGGAAGACAAGAAAATGGAATGAGATGAGTAATAGCTGGTGAATTTGAGGAGACATCAGGTAGGACAGCACGTATTTATAGAGGAGAAAATTTTGATGGTTATCACAATTAAGGAGATGAGAACAAGCCCTTAAATGAATCAGGAATGATGTAGATTTGTACTTAGTTGACCAGTGATCAAGCACGTGCTGAGTCTGTTAATGTATGGTGAGTCTAAGCCAAACCGGTATAAGCACGCAGAAAGATGGTTTGGCCGAGGAAATCCAACGTATACGTGCTGACGTGAGTGGACTACCAAGATCATGGACTAGTTTGTCTGGAATTTATTACGCGAGATGAACAGTACTATAACTTAGGGGAAGTGAATGCCAGAAAAATGATCACCAGTCCCCGAAGCATTGCTATCAACTTCAATTAAAAATTGGTGCATGGCCTTTGAGCTCTAGCCTTGTAGGCTGGTATGTGTACAGCTCTTGGAGTAGATAAGTGTGTGCGCTTTGTTTGGTTGACGAAATGACCTTTGGCGCGGCTACTGCTCTGCATGTCGACGTAAGCCGTAAACATCGCAGTGTCTTCAGGTCATCCAATCTGTTCTTTGCAAGTCAACTTTTTTACCAGACGAAGGGTCAGTTTTTTGCCGCCTGTATTGCATAGTGTTGCGAGTTAAATGACAACAAGTCCAGACCAGCAATAGCAAACAGAAAGCAACAGTGCCCTTTTATGGAATTTTTGAGTTTAAGAGATACCCAAAACCACCGGCAATGGGTCAAGCACCCGTGGTACTGAAAATGGATGCCACAAAGCAGTCAGTATGGCGGCTTGTGAATCGATGAAGAACTCCAGCTACCAGATATGTCGTCCGGTCCGTGAGAAGCCAGGCCAGTTAAACGGCTCAGTCATTCCGAACATGCGAACGGCAAACGGAAGCTAGAAATTGCAGGTTGTAGAGGAAGTAAATGAGGCAAAGCTGCCACTGGGACGATGGAAACTAAGGGAAATCGTCCGGAGCGTGTGAACCACTGCTAAACGATGGCA